ACAAGGTTACTGTTTGAACGTGAACACATCAAAAATCTGCATGCTGGTCCACAGCTTCTACTGGCTACCTTGAGAGAAACCGTTTGGCCTATTAACGGCAGGAGGCTCGCTAGAAGTGTCGTAAGGGATTGTCTTGTTTGCAGCCGTGTGCGCGGCCAAACACTTTTAACCAGAATGGGCGATTTACCTGCATATCGCGTATCAGTTGATTTTCCATTTAGGACTGTTGGCGTAGATTATGCTGGTCCTTTTCTTATCCTAAATAGAAAGGGTCGAGGCGCTAAAGCAACAAAGTGTTATTTATGTATTTTTATATGTTTGCGATTCAAATGTATACATTTGGAGGCAGTGTCAGATCTATCAATGGAATCTTACATAATGACCTTCCGTAGATTTGTAGCGCGTCGTGGTAAGCCAGCGGAGGTATATTCAGACAACGGTCGAAATTTTGTGGCAGCAGCCAAAGAATTGTCTAGTTTTTTAAAACAAAATAATAAACGTCTATCCGAGTTTGCATCTCAGGAGGAAGTAAAGTTTAATTTTATTCCGGCTTACGCTCCCCACTTTGGCGGAATGTGGGAGGCTGGTGTGAAATCCGCAAAGTATCATATTAAAAGAGTAATGGGAAATACGCATCTTACGTTCGAGGAATTTAGTACATTATTAGCACAAGTAGAAGCAATTTTAAACAGCCGTCCCCTTTGTCCCATGTCTTCCTCTCCAAATGACTTACTTTCCTTATCCCCCGGGCACTTTTTGATTGGAAGACCTTTGAATGCTTTACCATCAGCCGCACTGGAGGACCTGAAGGAGACATCTTTAAGCCGCTTCGCCCGTTTGGAGCAGATACGTCAGCATTTTTGGAGAAGATGGCAGAAGGAGTACATAACCGAATTGCAACAACGAACAAAGTGGAAGACAACAAGGGCGACGCTTAATGTTGGAGATTTAGTACTGATTCACGAAGATAATAATCCCCCGCTAAATTGGAGGATGGGTAGAGTTACACGATTATATCCTGGATCAGATGGGATTTCTAGAGTCGCTGATATTCATACCACTAAAGGATGTATACGTCGGCCGTTGGTTCGACTCTGCCGACTTCCCGCTGCTGTTGAATTTAAAGGTTGAAGAACTTGGCTCTTCAACGGGGGGGAGTATGTTCGCGCCCCTATAAACCCCACATATACATACATATAAAAGAAAAGGAATATTACAAATCATAGCGAAAACTTGCATTTATATAACGGATGGCGCCATCTATTGAATGGGACACCGGAGCGCTCTTAGCCCAAGCGTCATTGGTTGTCGCCGGCAGATAGCAGATGTCGCCCGCGTTCGTGTGTTCGGCTGGTTTTACCGACCATAATGTCATGACTTGTTAAAATTGTTAAATTCATTCTGTCAAGAAAACTGTTACTGCTAAATTGATTTTATTATAACATAAAGCGAAATTACTAAAAACACCGAGTTTTTATTGAAGAAGACTCCACTTCTATGCCCAAACAAAGATACTCAAGAGAATCAGTCGTTAATAACATCCCACCAAGCTCACATGATATTAGAGAAAACTACAAATTTGAAAAGGAAAGAAATAATAAAACGATTGTTCTGTACAAAGACACTCGTATCAACACCAATATCAGTAACAGAAGAGAAATTCCGGGGGACAGAAAACATGAGGACGGAAAAGGATCATAATATGAAGATGGAGGAAGAAACACTCCAAACTGAAGATAACGAATCGTTAATGGTAACAGTACCCCAAACTAGCACAATGTTAATGGAAACTCCAATTTTGAAAAAGAAAAAGATTATAAAACGAGTGTTTGGTACAAAAAAAAGACCCATGACAACATCGAGAACAATGTTTGATTCGGATTATATTTATAAACGTTTTACAAAGCTGAAATACGAAATACAAATGATGATAGTTCATAGACTATTAGTAAAACCAAGTAAATACCATATAATATTAACAGCAAAAGAATATTTAGAATGGAACAATCCGAGAACTATATCGATAGAGTCAGTGGGAAACTCTCATATTATTAGAAGCGAGGACACTAATCATACTCAAATGCCGGTCGTTTACAATATCGAAGCCGAGTTGGGTCCAATAATTACATACAATTTATACGACCCAAAATATTCTCAATATCAAGTGATGTATATAAACGAAGTGAATAAATTACCACTCAAGAAAGAAAGAACACTTTATTTGCTTTGGGATCCTATAAAGACATTGATTAAAGTAAAAATATTTTCATACATCAAATACAATTTTACTCATTCTATGCTCCTATGTATTCCTTTATTCGGTAACTTGTGTTTCAAAGAAACCATCGAGCCATCGAAAAAAGCCAAATAATAAACTATTTTTTAACACCACTAAAGACGTCTAGTGTGGAGATAAAATAAACATTTACAAAAAAATCAAAACATGGAGGCATATTATAACTACTTATTCGTTATATTTTATTTTTTATTGAAGTTATACTTCTTTAGGCGCGTTATGAAAAAATGATGAGAGTGAAATTTTAAGATGCGCGCGCATCACTATAACACAAAAATTAACAGCATGAAGTTGGTCGCTTTAGCGACCAACTTCATGCTGTTAATTTTTGTGTTTACCGCACATTAAGAAAATCTACCAACAAAATAGAAATAGAATCTCTATTTAGTGGGTGCTAACGACTGCATTGTATTGTGAAGGCCTATCAAAAGTATTTATTAATCTGGAACAACGGAACCAAAGCGCGATTCAGGAGACTACAGCGCCATCTCTTGACCATTGGTGTAGTAGAACCAAAAACCACATCTTTATTTTTTGTAATAAAGTAACAGTTATAGGTATTCATATTTATAATATTTATCCACATGTTTCTAGTTTGTATATTCGGAATACGTGTTTGAGTTTCATACAAGTGCAAATCACATATGTTCTAATAAATTATATTCAGTAGCGATTTTAATTGAATATTTTGATTATTTATTTATTTTTTCAAATTAAAACTGAACATTATTGACTGTGTCCTTTTCCAGACTTTTTATTAATTTATTGTAATTAATTATTTGCATGCAATTAAAAACTAATTTTAAACGATGCCAAAGAAGGATAACTTCTCACGCGCCTACATAAGTACACGCACCCATTTTTTTTTCTAAGTATGTTACTGCTTGATGTTAAATCTGAAGAAAATATAACTAGAAAAAAATCCACGCGGTCCAGGCAGCAGACGGGACTCATCGGGATAATAAAAATTATAACAATAATTGCTATTTCTTCCTTCAAATGTTTAATACTTTTATAATGCGAAGAGATGGCGCTGCCTTGCAGCTTAAGTATGGCTAGAGGAATTTCGACGCGGCCATCAGGGCCGCGGTAGCATAATTGGTCAGTGCATTCGCCCGGATAGCGAAGGGTGCGGGTTCGAGTCCCGTCTGCTGCCTGGTCCGCGTGGAATTTTTTCTAGTTATATTTTCTTTACTTATTCGTTGTTTAATTTTTATTTACATATATATTATTTTCGAGGAAGAAATCGTCGAGAGTCAAACCACGAATTTTACAATTTTTGTACTAAATTTTCAGCGTTAACTGCTGTTGTCCATGTCGCACGATATTTGCCAATGCGTGACAGCAATAGTTTTTTTAAATACCTATTTCTTAAATGTCACTCGGCTCTCGTCTGCTCTTAATTCTTGTCATTTTCAATACAGAATGAAAGAGACTGATATTTAATTTAGTTTTATGTTTAGGAAATCGGCACCATTGTATACTTAAAAACTGAAAAGCTCGATGGCGTAGGTGGTTAGCGTGCCTGTCATCGTGAAAGCTAAGCATCTTTCGCAATAGTGGGTAATTGGATGGATGGCCAAAAACTTCTTATTTCGAGCTCCTCCGTGTTTCGGAAGGCACATTAAGCCGTTAGTCCCGGCTGCATCTGCAGTCATTAGCACCCACCAAGCTGCACTGGGCCCACGTGGTGGGTCCCGGCTCAGTCTCCCTATTCCATCCATATGGAAGGCCTGTGCCCCAGCAGTGGGGACAATAATAGGCTAATGATGATGAAACTTAAAATTAAATTTTGTACTGTACTGTATATTAATACATTGTTCACGGATTCAAGTTAATTGAACGAAATTCTTTATCTCGCAATCGCTAACATCATACGAGAAAGGAGACTCATAGGCTTGTGTTATGACATCAATACAATACAGGATTCCATAACATACCGCAATATGATTTATAATACGATTTTATCACGCTCAATTGTCAAAATATTATAAAGTTACGTGATTAAAAAAAAAGCCTCTGTCTCGAGACGCACGGCAGAAGTGATAACTTAAACTAATCTAAGCGGCGCTGCGCGTTAGAGTAAGAGAGGAGGAGTATCTTAATCAGAAAGTTGTTAAACTAAATGAGCACAGGAGATTGGTAGGTGAAAAGGGGATTGGAGGATGAAAAGGGGATTGGTGGGGATTGATGGATGAGGGAGTGGGCTAGTTCTGGGGACACCCTTCTGGTACTTGGGTGGGCTGTGGTATCCATTTCCTTCGCGGCGAAAGGAAGTCAGATATACTGACGTTGTGCCTACGTAACGAAGCGGTCCGGTTATGTTGCAGAACTCGACCTCAAACAGCGTTGAAGGCGTGGGGGTGTGCACCGCTTACACTCCCATAAGAAGATATCGCTTCAAAAAGGGGAATATTTCATATCGCGGTACTCATCCTACTGTCATGCTGGCTTGTTTTCCCTGAACAAAATGCGTTTAACTCTTTGATTATTTCTTCGCCTAGATAGAGCAATCCACAAAAATCATGTAAAGAAAACAGGTCATGTTTCGCGCATTGTGTGCGGGATTGTAATGTCTGATTGTACTAAAACAGTCAATGTGTGCGTGTGTAGCGACGATCATATCGTGTTGTAGTAGATGCAGTTAATGCGATATCTAGGGTATTATTAATCAAGTTATAACTATCAATTTCCTTTTGCTTAGGAGACCAACGAATCCATCTACGAGAAATACGATCCCCTCCTGCACGGCAACACTCGCAGTAAGAAGGATCAGATTCTGAGCACCAAATTCATGCGCAAGTACATTCACATCGCGCGCCTCATGAAGCCGAAGTTGACCCAAGAAGCTTCAGATACCATCGCCGATGAATACGCGAAGCTGAGGAACCAGGACACTATGGACAGCGACGTGGCTAGGGTGAGTTGTAGTTTAGATTGTGGAGTGTGACGTGGGTCATGAAGACCAAACAGACCCAAGAAGCTTCCGACGTTATTGCTGGTGAATACGCGAAGCTGAGGAACCAGGACACTATGGACAGCGACGTGGCTAGGGTGAGTTGTAGTTTAGATTATGGAGTGTGACGTGGGTCATGAAGACCAAACAGACCCAAGGAGCTTCCGACGTGATTGCTGATGAATACGCGAAGCTGAGGAACCAGGACACTATGGACAGCGACGTGGCTAGGGTGAGTTGTAGTTTAGATTATGGATAGTGACGTGGGGTCATAAAGACCAAACAGACCCAAGAAGCTTCCGACGCGATTGCTGATGAATACGCGAAGCTGAGGAATCAGGACACTATGGACAGCGACGTGGCTAGGGTGAGTTGTAGTTAAGATTATGGAGTGTGACGTGGGTCATGAAGACTAAACAGACCCAAGAAGCTTCCGACGTGATTGCTGATGAATACGCGAAGATGAGGAACCAGGACACTATGGACAGCGACGTGGCTAGGGTAAGTTGTATTTTAGACAATAGACAATGACGTGGCTCATGAAGACCAAACTGACCCAAGAAGCTTCCGACGCGACTGCTGATGAATACGCGAAGATGAGGAACCAGGACACTATGGACAGCGACACTGCTTACATTCCATAGAAACTTTGACGTTGGCGATACGAATACGGTACTCCTAGCATAGCATAGTCCGAAATGTCAATAGCAATTTGCCAATGACATTTCGGACTCGCAAATTATTTGAATTCGATATTGGTTCATGCTAGGGGTACAGGACACTATGGACAGTGACTAGGTTGAGTTGGTATTAGCGTTTGGAGTGTTCAAAATTTTTATCTTTCTATCTGTGTATGTGAGGAGCTCGGTGGCACAAGTGGTTAGCGCGTTCGGCTGCGATCGTTGAGTTAAGCAACTTTCGCAGTGGTCGGTTATTGGATGGGTGACCAAAAATTTACTATCTCGAGTTCCTCCGTGCTTCGGAAGGCACGTTAAGCCGTTGGTCCCGGCTGCATCTGCAGTCGTTAGAACCCGCCAATCCGCACTGGGCCCGCGAGGTGGGTCATGGCCCAATCTCCCTATTCCATTCATAGGGAAGGCCTGTGCCCCAGCAGTGGGGACATTAATAGGCTGCTGATGATGATGATGATGATCTGTGTATGTATATAACAATTAATATTTTTCCCTTGGTCATGCCATGACTGGAAAAACGACCAATTTCATATTTTTCTTTAAAGTAATGTGGTGATATGTAGGTTCCTACGGCAAAAAAGAATTTGCACAGGCTATGAATAAATTTAAAGAAATATTGCAACTTGGGTTTTTTTATATTATATAAAAAAAGATTCTTGTTTACAGACGCAGCCAGTGACAGCGCGTACTTTAGAGACTTTGATCCGCCTATCAACTGCACACGCCAAGTGCCGGCTAAGCTTCCAGATCACAGAAACAGATGCTCAGGCCGCCATAGAACTGGTGCACTTCGCTTACTTCAAGAAGGTAAATGGATTAGATAGATGGATGTTGGCATCATGAAGAAAAAATTACTACAGTGCGACAAGGGTCTTTATGAATGTGACAGTTTAGGGAAGGCGCCACTGTCTACGCAAATGACCGTAAATGACATAAAAACGAAGATTTCAATGGCGCAAGTGGCAACTTTCTCAGTGGTCGGTAATTGGATGGGTGACCAAAATTTACTATTTCGAGCTCCTCCGTGCTTCGGAAGGCACGTTTACCCGTGGACCTCGGCTGCATCTGCAGTCTGGGTGCTGACCCCACCAATTCGCAATGGGCTCGCGTGGTGGGTTATGGCCCAATCTCCCAATTCCATCCATAGGGAAGGCCTGTGCCCTAGCAGTGGGGACATTAATAGGCTGATGACGTACTTATATCATATCAGCCGTATGACGCCCACTGCTGGACATAGGCCTCCCCCAAGGATCTCCACAACGATCGGTCCTGCGCTGCCCGCATCCAGCGTTTTCCCGCGACCTTCACCAGATCGTCGGTCCACCTTGTAGCGGGTCTTCCCACTGAGCGTCGTCCGGCACGCGGTCGCCATTCGAGAACCTTTCCGCCCCAACGGCCATCGGTTCTCCTCGCTATGTGTCCCGCCCACTGCCACTTCAGCTGGGCTATTCTTCGAGCTATGTCGGTGACTTTAGTTCTCCTCACTGCCATAGGTCATCACTGGCAACACACACTGGTTAAAGACTTTCGTCTTAAGGCATTGAGGTATTTTGGACGCGAAGATGTCCGCAGCTTCCCGAACGCTGCCCATCCGAGTTGGATTCGACGAGAGATCTCTTTCTCGAAGTTGGACTTACCTAACTGGATTGTGTGTCCTAGGTAAACGTAGTGGTCAACAACTTCAAGTGTAACGTTCCCAACATTAACTGGAGCGGGTGCAACATGGGCGTTGGACATGATTTTAGTCTTGTCCATGTTCATCTTAAGACCCACTCGCTGGGATGCGTCACTGAGATGCTCGAGCATAGTGTTCAGGTCTTCCAAGGTCTCCGCCATTAGGACTACGTCATCGGCAAATCGTAGGTGTGTCAGGTACTCGCCGTTGATGTTAATGCCGAGTCCTTTCCAGTCCACAAGCTTAAAAATATCCTCCATCGCAGCAGTGAACAGTTTCGGAGATATAACGTCTCCCTGTCTCACCCCTCGCTGTAGTTGGATAGGATTAGAGCTCTGATTCTGTACTCGGACCGACATAGTGGCGTTTTGGTATAGGTACTTTAACACTTCGATATACCTGTAGTCCACTTGGACCTCTGGAGAGACTGCAGCACCGCCCAGGTCTCGATCGAAGGCCTTCTCATAGTCTACAAACGCTAAGCAAAGTGGCCGATTATACTCTTCGGTCTTCTGTATAATCTGCCGCAGCGTATGGATGTGGTCTATGGTACTAAAGCCTTTTCGGAAACCGGCTTGTTCGGGAGGCTGGAAGTCGTCGAGCCTGCGAGCGAGACGATTCGTAATGACCCTCGAAAACAGCTTGTAGATATGGCTCAGAAGCGAGATGGGTCTGTAGTTCTTCAGTAGGGTCTTATCGCCCTTTTTGAAGAACAAAATCACCTCGCTTCTGCTCCATGCCTTCGGCGTTTTGCCCTGGTGGATGATGGAGTTGAAGAGCTTCTGGAGGACTTTAAGTACCGGCGTACCGCCCGCTCTCAGAAGCTCTGTTGTGATTCCGTCATCTCCCGCCTCCTTGTTGTTTTGAAGCTGTTTGAGGGCAATTCTAATCTCGTACAGGCTGACGTCCGGGATATCCTCGGTATAATGTCGGGTAAGCTTGGCTCTAGGATCTCGAGCTCTGTTTTCGCTTGGTGTTCTGCTGGAATATAACTGCCTACAGAAACTCTCAATCTCCCTCAGGATTTCAGGAGTCAATGAAATGATACTACCGTCCTCATTTTTCAGCCTCGTCAGTTGACTTTGCCCAATAGACAGAGCGAACACTTTGGAACCTTTGTTCCGCTCTATGACCTCTTTAATACGCTCGGTATTAAAGTGGCGAAGGTCGCTCGTCAACGACTACGAGATCTGTCTATTAAGCTGTCTATAACGAAGGGCATCCGCCGAGTCCTATAGTCTCATTTCATGTCTCCTATCCATGAGTTCGAGTGTGTATGCGGAGAGTTTCTTTAATTTGGTACGGCGGGTTTTAAAGCGTTTAGACCCTACCGTACGGACAGTATCCACCACCAGGTCCACGTCTATGCTGTTCTCAAGGTACTCGAAGCGGTTCTGGAGCTCGAGCTGAAAGCGCTCGGGGTTTTGAATTTGGGCTGGCACCGGTCGCAGCGTTGATTTTATCAGTCGCGATCTTTCAAGCCTAACGTTAATATTCAATGTGCCCTAGGCCAAAAATCTTTATTGATTTACACACTGAAGAATATAACATAATTAATTATGAAACTCACTTCATTATCAGTTTATGTTCATGAAATAAGAAGATTTTTTATTTATTATATTCTTATTTTTCAAGAATTTAACTGCTATATGTAAAAACCTAGAGGTAGAGGAGCTCGATGGCGCAACTGGTTAGCGCGTTCGGCTGCGATCGTTGAAATTAAGCAACTTTCGCAGCGGTCGGTCATTGGATGGGTGACCAAAAATTTACTATCTCGAGCTCCTCCGTGCTTCGGAAGGCACGTTAAGCCGTTGGTCCCGGTTGCATCTGCAGTCGTTAGCACCCACTAATCCGCACTGGGCCCGCGTGGTGGGTCACGGCCCAATCTCCCTGTTCCATCCATAGGGAAGGCCTGTGCCCCAGCAGTGGGAACATTAATAGGCTGATGATGATGTAAAAACCTAAACAAAATTTTACTAGCAAAAAATTTACATTGTGGGTTACTTACATTGCGAAGAGATGGCGCTGCCTTTCAACCTAAGAAATACTAGAGCAAATCCGACACGGCCATTAGGGTAACGGTAGCATAATCATCGGTCAGTGCACCCGCTCGCATAGCGGAGGGTGCGGGTTCGAGTCCTGTCCGCTGCCTGGACCGTGTAAATAATTAAGCATTAAATTTTTTTATAGTTTCATCCGTGCTTCGAAAAGCACGTTAAGCCATTGGTCCCGGCTGCATCTGCAATCGTTAGCAACTACCTATCCGCACTGGACCCGCATGGTAGATCATGGACCAATCTCCCTATTCCATCCAAAAGGAAGACCTGTGCTCCAGCAGTGGGGACATTAATAGGTTGATAATGAGATAGTTTCATCTGCTTTTTGATGTGTAACATCTTTCCTCTCGCTTTCCTACACTTTGTGGGAGTGAATTCGTGACATGGGACGGAAGTGTGTAACAGGAAGTCGCGAAAGCGCGCGCTTTGAATGATTTTAGAACATAATGTTCAAATGGCTTATTCCTTTTGTAGTAGGTTTTATTTCTATTTTTACTAATATAAGGTGAGGTTTCAAATGTTGCACATCATACGCGACTACTGTAAGGCTCGCTCGGTTTTTAGGTATTAACTAAGGAGAAACGCCGTAAGCGCCGCGCTTCGTCTGACGAAGAAGCCGGGTCAGACAGCGAGCAGCCGTCGCAGCCGAGGGCAAAGAGGTCACGGAAAACGGTAAGTTATTCTTTATTATTACTTGACATTTAAAAATAAATTATAGGAATTTCTAATTAACAAATGTTATTATAATGTAAATGAATATTTTAATGATAAGATCAGTAATTATTAATATACATGTACAAATAATAATTGATTTTATTATTTATTATATTTTATATTGTGAAATTATTATTATTTATGTTTATAATTAAATCAGATAGTGATAATCTAAATGAAAATCCAATTATAACAATCAAAAATAATCATATGAAACAATCTCTAACATCCAATTATAATTTTACTATTAGTGTTGTTATTTTGGGAAGCGCATCCTCTCTTCTAATAACCAATTGCGTGCCCGACGGGGTCCATAATGCTTATAATTATATAAGGGAGCGTCCATAAATGGTGGTGAGATGTTATGAGATTTTATTCAACCTGATTATGAGATTTTTCAAAATGTGGGTTTCTTTCGTAAACGCGTTGGATTGTTATTGTAAAAAGAAAAAAAATTGCTTCGCGCTTTTATTTACGACTAGTTAATATCAATATTGCTGAGAGTTATAATTATAAGTGTGATAAAAATTTAACAATAGAATGAATACTTAATCGTAACTACTGTGAAAAAAAAATGCGTGATATTTGCCGAGACCCCCCCTCTCCAACGTAAGATTAGATGAGATTTGACTCGACCCCCTCCTCCCCTTAAACATCTCACGTAATTTATGGACGCCCCCTAAGTACCTACCACCCATTGTACACATTATGGTTGCAATAAATGATTTGAGTTTGAGTTATTAATATTAAAAGGGTGGCAAACAAGCTTATAGCCCGCCTGATGGTAAGCGGTCATTATAATAATAAAAATAAATATTTCCGACACTCACACCAATTAGCCTAGCCCCAAAGTAAGCACTGTAAGGCTTGTGTTATGGGATACTAGGGTAACGGATAGTATACATTTTAAGTATCTATACATATAATAAAATGGTAGGAAAGTCAAAACTGTACATTGAATATTTTTTTTAAAGAATGCTTGGGTGATCTACAATCGATACCGAAGCCAAAAATATAGTTTGTAGAATTTTTGTCTGTTTGTATGTATGTGGAGGCGCCTAAACCCCCATAACTTGGGTTGCGGGAAAATAATAATTTTGCGTGCTCAATACTTATATGGAGAGGCTAACCCTAGGCGTAGGTTAATAGTGGACTGTATCTGGGGGGCGGTAATACACAATCATATATTATTAAAAATACAAAATAAACTGCGCCTTGCAAATGCCTTATCTATTTAAGGACGAAGAAAATGGTTGAAGACTTGGAGACAAAGGAAAGGAACATGCGCACTTACCTCAGCACACCATCCGTTTGGTCGCAAGTCATCCTTCAAGCACTTATATCGAAAATAAATCGTTTGCCGGCACAGATTTTGTATTTATATAAATTGCACAATGTAAAATGTTCACTAATAGTATGATCGCACAGTAATTTTTGGATACTATATCACAACATGTGTGTCTTCCATTACAACGTTCACAAGAGAGAGGTGGAAAAAGTATAATGTCCTATGCACTCCGCGGTGTCGTCGAAAGCAGGACGGCCATAGCTAAAAGTGCACATGTATGAAAAGGATGGGAGACAGATTGGATTAAGGCAATTGCAAGTGCATAAACTACCCTATAATGAAATTATTAAAAACCCGCAAAATACGAAATCCAACATCCCCCCGGCCTTGAAGAAACCCTTCAACAAAGGGAAAATTAATCCGCATATCGTAGCATAGCGGAGCGGTTAAATATATTAAGGCGAGTAGCGAGTAAAAAAAATAAAAAGTAAACTAAACTAAAATGTATTTGTCTAAGTGACAACGTAAACTAAATAAATAGAACTAGTCTATGACTCTATTGAGTCGGAAGCGGGCATAGCCGCACAACTGGACGCTTGTAAACGCCAGCCTTTGTTTTTACTTCCGCAACGCGAATAATTCCATCCCTACCAGGGTATAGACAGTTTACAATTCCTAAAGGCCACTGTAATGGTGGAGCGTTATCAATATTTAACAACACTATTGTGCCTACCGTTATAGGATTCGAAGGAGTATTCCATTTTTCGCGCGATTGCAAATTATGTAAATATTCAGATTGAAATCGTTTCCAAAACGATTGCACCAACTTATCCATTAAAGAGAAACGAGACAATAAATGCAATCGCTGCTCGGTCAAGTCAGCCGCGGGTAAACATTCTAGTGGAGCGGTACATAAAAAATGTGAAGGCGTAAGTGCAAGCGGTTCTGACGGATCGGAACTTAAAACATAAAGAGGCCGGCTATTAAGAACCGCCTCAATTTGAGTGAGTACAGTAGACATCTCCTCAAATGTAAGGATTTGTTTACCAATCACGCGAAATAAAAGTGACTTGACGCTCTTAACGTTCGCTTCCCATATGCCACCAAAGTGACTAGCCGTAGGCGGGTTCATACGCCACGTAATGCGGTGTTTCGCGAGCTCACTACTAAATGTTTTATAATAATCATCAGTGAGTAGAAACTCGTAAAGTTCATTAAAGTAAGCCTTCGAAGCGACAAAATTCGTGCCGTTGTCGCTATATAAAAAATTACAAGGACCCCTTCGCGAAATAAAGCGCTTAAACGCATCAATAAATGAAGCAGAAGTTAAATTTGAAACAAGTTCTATGTGAACTGCTTTAGTAACTAGACATATAAATATACATATATAAGCTTTTACGCTATGAACACCACGTTTACGGTACGGCGTAATATAAAGCGGACCAGCGTAATCTACGCCCGTATGTAGAAATGCATTACATTTTTCTAATCTACACTTAGGCAAATCTGCCATAGGCGGAAATGTAGGTTTGGGGTTCAACCGGAAACAAATATTGCATAGATGAATGCGTTGACGAACAATGCGTCTAGCTGAAATTATCCAATATTTGGATCTTAATAAGGAAATTAATAACTGCGGCCCAGCATGGCAATTATTTACGTGATAAAATTCAATTAATAACTCAGTAATACGTCCATGTTTAGGTAATAAAATCGGGTGTTTAGATGAATAATCTAATGTCGAATTCGATAAGCGACCTCCGACGCGTAAAAGTCCGTCACATAAAAACGGAAATAATTTTCGTAACTTAGGAGAACACGGCTGGCCCTTTGCGATGCATTTTATATCATCAGAAAAATATTGTGTTTGAACTGCGTGAATAATTTTTAACTCTGCGATATTTAAATCTTCAGCGGTAATAACGTTGTTCCGCGGGAGCCTTTTTATAAATCTAAGCGCATATACAGTTGACGAAATAAGCTTTCGCCAAGTGGAACACCGTGAAGCTAATTCTATAAGAGGATGATTAATTGCAGTAACTGCTGTCACGTGAGAAACGGTTTTTTCTTCCGGTAAAAATAACCGATTTGATATAAACTTTTGTATAGGCCAGTCGTTGATAGGCAAAGAGAGCCAAGGCGGTCCCTTAAACCAAAGCTCATGCCGAATGAGCTGTAAAGGTGAGAGCCCACGAGACATACAGTCTGCGGGGTTTTGTAGGCCAGCGACGTGATATAAATTATCAGTGGAAATATTTTCTTGTATTTGTGAAATGCGGTTAGCAACATAAGTGTTAAATCTATGCGGTGAGGAAACCGACCAACATAAAGCTACTTCGGAGTCCGAAAATGCAAAAATATTATCAATTTTGTGTCTCGCAGACAAAGTGTCATATACAGATTTAAGAAGTCGCGAAAGTAAAAGTATACCATTAAGTTCTAAACGGGCTAAAGTTATTTTTGGTTTTGCGGATGCGACACGTGACTTTGAACATACTAGTGAGACAATAGGGCTTTGGTCTCCATTTACGACGTGTAAATATATTACACAACCGTATGCGGATTCACTAGCGTCCGAAAAAGCTACTAAAGAAACTTTTGAGTATTTTTCAATACCAAAATGGCGCGGAAATGATAAATTTGAGATCTGCGGAAGTTCACTTAAATATTTTTGCCAAAGATTGACAATGCGGTAGGGAGGTACGGCATCCCAATCAAGGTTCAGAAGCCAGAGTTCTTTTATTATTAATTTAGCGTAAAGAATAACAGGTCCAACGAGTCCTAGGACGTCGTATAGACGGGCGGTCGCGGACAAAATAGTACGTTTTGTACAAACGGACGGCGGGTTAGAAGTTTCGAAAACAAACGAATCCAGAGTAGGTAACCAACGCAAGCCTAAAATCTTAAATATATTTCCCTCGTCGAAAGAAATAAATTCAGACTGTCGGTGCGACTCCGGTATACTGTTAAGCAATTCAGGCGAGTTGGATGCCCATTTGACTAAGTCAAAACCACCGGCCTTGAACAGCTGGATCAACTCTGCAGCTGTCGTGACTGCTTCTCCAAACGAAGAAACAGACGAAGCCAGGTCGTCCATATATATATCTCTTTCTATGATATCTGCCGCGTTTGGAAACTTATGTCGTTCATCCCTAGCGAGCTGACGTAGGGTGCGGAGTGCCAAAAATGGAGAAGATCGGAGACCAAATGTCACCCTAGTGAACTCAAAAACTTCTAGCGGGTCATTATTCGAAAATCTATATAATATACGTTGATATTTACGGTGCGATGCGTTAGTATAAATACACAAATACATTTGTTTTACATCTGCAAAAAATGCTATGCGGAAAATGCGAACATTCAAAAGAATGTGAAAAATATCTGCTTGCAAATTGCAACCAGTGAGTAATGTGTCATTTAAAGATAGCCCTGTGTCGGTTTTGGCACTGCCGTCCAGCACTGGGCGGACCTTAGTAGTCACTTTGTCGTCGCGAACTACAGGGTGGTGCGGTAAATAAAAACCTGGGCTGTTGCATAACTCAGGTGCGGTGCGGGATAAAATACCTTTGTTTAGGTATTCACGAATAATTTCGTCATAAGCATTTTTAAGTTTTGGATTTTTAGAAAACTTCCTTTCGAGAAGTAAAAATCGTTTTTTAGCGGTATTATAAGAATTGCCTAATTTATTGGGTTCATCTTTAAAGGGAAGATCAACAGAATAACTGCCGTCAGAGTTGCGAACAGTGGTTGAAGAATAAATATATTCGCACTGTTGATCATCGGGACTTAAGAAAGTGCGCGAAGGTAACTCTTCAATGGCCCAAAATTTTTCGACAATCTGGTGTAGCGGATCTGAAGTAAAAGCACACAATGTGCTAATAGCGGGTAGCGGAGAAATAATAGGAGCGTCACCCATAATTAGGTAACCTAAGGTCGTTTCAAAGGCGGAGGGCATACCGTTACGCTGACTTTTAATATGATCATTAAGTAAAATCTCACAAAAAAGTTTAACACCTAAAAGTATATCAATAGGCCCCGGTTGTGAAAACTCATCATCAGCAAGTGGTAAGTTACGAATAAATGTAATCGCTGCTGCATCTACGCGCGAGTCGGGCAGGTGCGACGTAATCTGCTCAACTATCATGGGCCGTATAGAATATTCACATTTATTATCAAAGCGCGACGAAAATGTGAGTGCGGTTATACCTAATATTTTTTGTGTAGCTCCTCCTATGCCTTGAACTTCCGAATAGCGGGAATTATTATTAATAGAAAGCGAAAGTAGCTTACGACAGGAAGCGGAAATATAATCACTTTGAGAGCCAGGATCAACAAGACATCTCAAATAATGAATGCGGTTATTACAATCGATTACTTTAATTTTCGCAGTCCCTAACAACGTAGTCGTCTGATAACGACTTACTAAATCGCAAGAGACTGTGCAAACCGATGCATCGTTTTTATTCAAGCGCGGTAAATTATTTTCGACCTTAAATGCAATAGGTGCATGGTTAATATTAGCGGTGCGGGAGTGATGAGTCATATCGGACTCGGAACGACTGCCCGTCGCAGGACGGGACTCGTCAATAGCGGTAGCGGAGTGAGCGGGTACAGTAGCAGCGGCGGACACCACTGCGGCGACGTTGCAATTAGATTTATTTGCATTATTAAAATGTAATAAAGAATGGTGCCGCATAGAACAATGAGAACAAGTATTTTTAGAAGTACAAAAAAATGTTTTATGTTTGGAGCTTAAACAGTTGTTACAAAAAGAATTTATTTTTATAAAATTATATTTTTCACGTGGAGTTAATTTCATAAAAGACGAACACGAATACACATGATCGTGCTGTTTATTTTTACACAAAGAACATTTATCGCTTGTATTGGAACCACTTCCCGTGTCCGTATTTACAAAGGATTTTGTCGACGGCATAGGGACGCGGTTATGATTACGTTGTTTGTGTTGCGAGTGTTCAACCGGCTTACTAATGTGCGCAGAACGAGACAAAACTTTACTCTGTTCTTTTATAAATTCAATTAAATTATGATAAGTAGGTATTTTATCTTTACGATACGTAATTTCAAATAATTTAATTGTGTCTGCGTCTAACTTTTGCAGAGCTAAATGCAAGAAAATAAAATCAGTTAAGTCGTTAAGCTTCAGTTGCTTAAGCGCTTCTACAGAAGAATCAAAATTATTTATAAATAAATCGAGCCCAGTTGAACTAGTATTTGATAGCGGTTTAAAATGTAACAACTGATTAAGGTATGCACATGCGAGTGAGCGAGGATCGTCATACTTCTGCACGAGTGCCTCCCAAATAACAATATAATTTTCTGCGGTGGGAGCCAACCCTGCGCAGACGCTAGACGCCTGTCCCGTTAATTTGCCAACTAGGTAAAATACCTTTTCACTATCAGTGAGCGATGCGTTATCATGAATCATATTTTTAAATTGTTGGTAAAATAAAGGCCAATTTTTTACATCTCCGTTAAATGACATTAAGTCGATAGGCGGAAGGCGGGGTTTAGATTTTAAATTACTTTTTGAATTAGATAATTCATTTGTGTTATCGAGCAAAATTTGTTTTATATAACAAAACATAACTTCAAATGTTAACCAGGAATCATAGTCAACCTCGGAATCTGGGTGTAACTGTAAATTTAATATATTATAGGAATCTAATACATCCTGATAATCTGAACGTAAAGTGTCTATATTTAATGCACTAGCACAAAATGCTTTATAATATTGCGGATCTTTTTCCGATTTTTGTGCGAGCTCATAAATATTTTCTATGCGTTTATAAATAACATCGCGTTTGACTATATAAATAGTCAGCTGATTTTTATTTGTATCATAACTATCCCCTGCAAAACCTTCACTGCCCCTCCTCTTCGACTTAACCATGGTTATAAATAGTTAGCAAATTACGATAGGCAATAAAGAATAAAAATATGTGCGGTAAATAAATTAAAGGTAAATATGTTATGTGAATGCTATTGGATCTTTAACAGAATGTATATAGTAGGCAATCTTAACGGTTTTAAAAGTAAATTATAGTAAAAATATTAGCGGGTGAGATTGGCGGGTAAGAAAAAATACTATTAGCGGGTAGCGAACGTTGAGACGCGAGTGTACGATCGTTAGCGGGGCGAGCCGATATTAACCGAACAATGACAAAATAAAATGAACATTATTACAAATTATGCGAAAAATGGAATGTGTATAACTCAATGATGCATTGGACTACGTAATGCGGTGCGGAAATAAAAACAATAAACTGTCGATGCGGAATAATAACAATAGAAATTCGACAATTTATTTAATTTACGTAGCACAAGTACCACTATAAGTTATACTTAGCGGATTTTAGTAAATTGTAAATTATTAGCGATTGTGAATTTGAACGAAAATGAATTTATGATTTCTATGTAAATATTTGCCAAATTGAACAACAACACTTATATTCGTGAAAGCAATGATTAAAACTGTAGCGAAATTACATTAATTTGGGAAAATCTGGTTAGAACTGACCATAAATAATGGGAAAATCCGGCTCGAAGGACCAAAAAAGTATGGAGGCGCCTAAACCCCCATAACTTGGGTTGCGGGAAAATAATAATTTTGCGTGCTCAATACTTATATGGAGAGGCTAACCCTAGGCGTAGGTTAATAGTGGACTGTATCTGGGGGGCGGTAATACACAATCATATATTATTAAAAATACAAAATAAACTGCGCCTTGCAAATGCCTTATCTATTTAAGGACGAAGAAAATGGTTGAAGACTTGGAGACAAAGGAAAGGAACATGCGCACTTACCTCAGCACACCATCCGTTTGGTCGCAAGTCATCCTTCAAGCACTTATATCGAAAATAAATCGTTTGCCGGCACAGATTTTGTATTTATATAAATTGCACAATGTAAAATGTTCACTAATAGTATGATCGCACAGTAATTTTTGGATACTATATCACAACATGTGTGTCTTCCATTACAACGTTCACAAGAGAGAGGTGGAAAAAGTATAATGTCCTATGCACTCCGCGGTGTCGTCGAAAGCAGGACGGCCATAGCTAAAAGTGCACATGTATGAAAAGGATGGGAGACAGATTGGATTAAGGCAATTGCAAGTGCATAAACTACCCTATAATGAAATTATTAAAAACCCGCAAAATACGAAATCCAACAGTATGTATGTCCGGGATAAACTCAAAAAGAACTGCATGGATTTACTTTAAATTTGACACGAATATTATTAAGAAGTCGGGTCAACACATAGGCTTACATATTATCACACTATCACCTACGGGAACGAGCAGTGAACCTTTATTTCTAACTGACTCCACGCGTACGAAGTCGCGGGCGGCCGCTAGTATTTATATAGAAATAAATATTAAACATTCATGACCGGAGTACAAATGCTCGTATTCATCACACAAACGTCTGCCCCCACCGGGATTCGAACCCTGGCCCTTTGAGTAGGCAACGCCATGAAACCCGATGTGTATACGACTAAGCCATGGAGGTCGTTCATTCGCTCCCAGTTAGGGTTACCATCCGTCCGGACATGTCCGGCCTTCTAGACTATAGTCCGGCTTTGGCCGGATTATTTGAGTTCTTTGAATATGAATAATAAAAGTACATATTGAACAAAACTAGAGATGCGCCGAATATTTGTATTCGGTATATTTTTTAAAGTTCGTATTCGGCCGAATATTCGGTTGATGTGCCGAATGATTACCGAATAATTAAATTATTATTATTATTTCAAGACATTGTTTTCCTTTCGTAATTAAGTTTAATTAAAAAGGTATGGTTCATTATGATAACTGTTGGTACACAGTTTTTATATATGAATACATACATAAAGTCACGCCTTTCTCCCACAGGGGTAGGCAGAGATTACTTCTTTTCACTTGCTACGATCCTTACATACTTCTTTCGCTTCGTCTACTCTCATTACAGTCCTCATACATGCTCGACGATTTCGTGTAGTTTTGACCTTTTATAAATGAAAGACACACTTATTTGTGTAACAATTCTTTATTGACAAAATACTTATTAAAATTAAGTAAAATAGAAAGTCTTATTAAGTAATAATCATCAATTAAATATATATTTTACCGTACCGAATCATTCGGTTCGGTACATTTTGAACCGAATATTCTGCCGAACATTCGTATTCGGTTGAACCCACATTCGGCGCATCTCTAATTAAAACATCATACCATTGTAACTGAGTAGTGGTACCATTTTGTGACTAAAAATTCCGGACTTTTTTCTAAATGTCCGGATTTATGTCAGGACTTTTGAAATTCCTAAATGGTAACCCTACTCCCATTTAAATTATTCCTCTGTTAAACTTCGGTTTTGGTTCCAGGGCGGCACAAACGGCGCTGGTGATGCAGATCCATACACGTTCTCATCGGACGAAGAAATGGAGCCCGTACTGAGGGCCGCGCGTGACACACAACCGGACAGGCATACTGTCGCCGCTACCGCGGGGAAACCCATCGACAATGAGAGGTAATAAACTCATCAAAAAGTTTTCTTTTCTTATATAATACTCCAGGCGTAAAATGTGATAAGATACCTACCCACAATATGCACAACCGACTACGCGCACTGGCTCCGGCTCATGCATTTAGCTGTTTTTACCGGCTCGTTTCGATATGGATTTTTTTTACTGAAAGTGTGCAACACACACACTACACCAAACACACACGTACACACTTATTTACACAAATTTAGTTATGATGCTCCGTTTATTAGTTTGTTTTATATAGGTATTTATATTTATCGCAAAATTATTTTGAATCTTTGTTGGTAGTTTTATAGGTATTATTGTTAATTTGTAACTTCTACCCTACGTAATCATTTAATTTTTAAATTGAATACAAAGTGAGTTTCTGTAATTGGCTAAAGTATCGTTTAAAAAAATATATTGTGTAAAACGCTGTTGAAACTTGTTGATGATAAATAAATTATATATATATATATATAGGTCCGATAAACCCTGTCGGACCTGCATGTTGCTTCTTCACGCCTCTATTAAAGGATCCCAGGTTGCAAGAGGGAGTGAACACGTGAGCGGGCAGAGTATTCCAATTACGGATAGTGCGACAAAGGAATGAGTGACCAAACTTAGTCAAAAGTCTAAGCAACATGTGATTTTTACTGTTGTATAATATATTTGAGGAGCTGGCGAACAAAACTGTATAACTACGCATCTGGTCAAACTACTCTTTTTTTTTTACAGTCCGGAGGTTTCGGGCCCGTTGAATTTGTATCTCAAATAAAGTAGATTAATATAGAATCTTGCTTGGCGCAAGTCTTGTATTTGGTCTCTAAATTGCGACCAACGTAAGGGGCGCGTCAGTTACTTAAGTTAACAGAATAAAGTACAGTCTCAATCTAGTAAAAACAGGTCCGAAAATAAACTTTAGTTCTATCGTCATAAGGAACTGACACTACATGTCAGTATACCGCATTCTTTCATGGCCGCACTACAAAGCGGGTCTGTATATTGAAATAAAGATTAATAGGATACATGACAATGTTAAAAAATGAAGTGCCCATTGTTGGCATAAATACAAATTATTTAGATTAATTGTTGGCGTAAGATCGTATTCAGAAAGTTGTCAAATACCATATTGACTCACAATATGTTTTCCAGGCTGGCTCTCTTCAAATCGGCACTCCAGCAGTTATTCCGCGAAGAACGCGCCAACTCTCTACCCTTAGACAGAGTCCGTGCGTACGTCAACGAGAAGTATTCGCACGCGACATTCGACGATCAGGAACTGAACTTAGCACTGGCTCGGATGACTAAGGACAACCATGTGATGATGGCCGATGACATCGTCTTCTTGATTTAAGTACGTTCCTTTTGTCTGAGTACTTGTCTATCATGTTTACAATCTATACTTAGAAGCGTCAATTTAATGTTTATGTCATCGAGTAGTATTCACACGCGACATTCGACGATCAAGAACTGAACTTAGCACTGGCTCGGATGACTAAGGACAACCATGTGATGATGGCCGATGACATCGTCTTCTTGATTTAAGTACGTTCCTTTTGTCTGAGTACTTGTCTATCATGTTTACAATCTATACTTAGAAGCGTCAATTTAATGTTTATGTCATCGAGAAGTATTCACACGCGACATTCGACGATCAAGAACTGAACTCAGCACTGGCTCGGATGACAAAGGACAACCATGTGATGATGGCCGATGACATCGTCTTCTTGATTTAAGTACGTTCTTTTTGTCTGAGTACTTGTCTATCATGTTTACAATCTATACTTAGAAGCGTCAATTTAATGTTTATGTCATCGAGAAGTATTCACACTCGACATTCGACGATCAAGAACTGAACTCAGCACTGGCTCGGATGACTAAGGACAACCATGTGATGATGGCTGATGACATCGTCTTCTTGATTTAAGTACGTTCCTTTTGTCTGAGTACTTGTCTATCATGTTTACAATCTATACTTAGAAGCGTCAATTTAATGTTTATGTCATCGAGAAGTATTCACACTCGACATTCGACGATCAAGAACTGAACTCAGCACTGGCTCGGATGACTAAGGACAACCATGTGATGATGGCTGATGACATCGTCTTCTTGATTTAAGTACGTTCCTTTTGTCTGAGTACTTGTCTATCATGTTTACAATCTATACTTAGAAGCGTCAATTTAATGTTTATGTCCAAGAGAAGTATTCACACTCGACTTTCGACGATCAAGAACTGAACTCAGTGCTGGCTCGGATGACTAAGGACAACCATGTGATGAGGGCCGATGACATCGTCTTCTTGATTTAAGTACGTCCTTTTTGTCTGAGTACTTGTCTATCATGTTTACAATCTATACTTAGAAGCGTCAATTTAATGTTTATGTCCAAGAGAAGTATTCACACTCGACTTTCGACGATCAAGAACTGAACTCAGTGCTGGCTCGGATGACTAAGGACAACCATGTGATGAGGGCCGATGACATCGTCTTCTTGATTTAAGTACGTCCTTTTTGTCTGAGTACTTGTCTATCATGTTTACAATCTATTGTCTGACTACTTGTCTATCATCTTTACAATCTATTGTCTGACTACTTGTCTATCATGTTTACAATCTATACTTAGAAGCGTCAATTTAATGTTTATGTCAAAGAGAAGTATTCACACTCGACATTCGACGATCAAGAACTGAACTCGGCACTGGCTCGGATGACTAAGGACAACCATGTGATGATGGCTGATGACATCGTCTTCTTGATTTAAGTACGTTCCTTTTGTCTGAGTACTTGTCTATCATGTTTACAATCTATACTTAGAAGCGTCAATTTAACGTTTATGTCATCGAGAAGAATTCTCGCACGCGAGAATCGAAGATCAGGAACTTAATACAGCACTGGCTGGGATGACTTAAAACAAACCATGTAATGATGGCCGATGACCTCGTCTTCTAGATTTAAGTACGATCCTTTTGTCAAAGTACTTACCTATCATACACCACTCACAACCTACACTTAGAAGCGTCAATTTAATGCTTACGTCAACTAAAAGTATTCACACGTGACATAAATGACGTAACAGTGACGTAAATAAATCAGCAGATGATGGCTGATGACATCGTCTCTTGATTTAAGTACCTCACCTTCTTTTCCCGGAGTATAGTCGATTGCAAGTTTACGGCATTGTGAAGGTAGCAGCGAACGCTATTATACGCAGGTTCAGATCAGTGACATTTCGCTCGTTCTTAAATACATCACCCTACTTCTCGTTTACTGCGCCCGCGACTTGAGCTAACTTCACAGTAGTCATTAGGTTTAAATCGCACTTTACTCTTCTATTATCTTTAGAACAATGTGTGCAGAATGGTTGTTCTCTATAGTCTAGACAGAACCCTCTTTCCCAGTGGGCACTTTGGGCAAGTGCCCAGGGCCCCGCAATCGATAGGGGTATAATATATATAATATATAATCGATATCCCCTCAGATCAAATACAAAGTCCCTAGTTCCTGTTAAATCACCAAATGACCCCCATAGGGGCCCAATTATCCCAATATGCCCAGGGCCTCCAATAGGTCAAAGACGGCACTGAGTCTAGATAATTGAAAAATAATCATCAAGCTCACGAATATCGTCTCAAAATGTTGATTCGGACCTATGCTTCTGTGACTGTTCACGGTAATCAATTTAGTGATAATAAAAGTTTAATACATAAATCAATAATTAAAGTTAGAAGTTAGTACACAAGAGGAGAAAAATTAAAATGAGATTAGTTAAATAAATTTATACAGAAATAAGTATATCGCATTTCATTTTTGCCTTCGTTTTTTAACCCAGATAGATAAGATTTCGAATGGGAATTCAATGCAAGGTTAATTAAAAGACTCGCTCTAGAACTTTGTTATAACTAAATTTCTAAATGGGAAAACTTAAACTTGAAAATTACATCAATCTAATAACACTGATACAACACATGTACGTAATTAATGTTGTTGTCATAAGTTAAACGCTTTTTCTCGTTATTCTCAGATAAATTCTTCCTGTAAGAAACAAGCGATAGTCCTAAAAGTTATCATGGTCTATTTGTATAATCGGCATATTTTTTTTTATCTGAAATCAAAATATATCAAGTGTGTTAGTCTACGTATTTGGATTGGGGTGAGATATAAACAATTCACATTCCGCCTTTGAATAAAGTACAAATTACAGTCAGAATGTGGCATAATTATGGTTTACTGTTTTTACTTATCAAGTCCACCTAATAATGAAAGCAGATATGTTTTTTTTTGTATAATGTATTGGTAGCGGCATACATTTTGAGCAAAACCACAGACAAATTAACTTGCGTAAACGATTTTGTATGTAAAATTGCTATTTCCGGTTTCCTTGTCTACGGACGTTGCTCGAGAAGTTTGCTGGGGTGTATACAAGTGCCTTCCGAAAGAAAACAAACGCGTATCACATATTGTCTGTTCTCATTTACAATGTTGATTTTGTATTTTTATACAATCCTGTAATAGCTGTAAGTTTAATGATAAATAAAATAGTTTTGTAATAAAAAAATGCAGTTTTTTTTGTTATTTAACTTATTTTTTATTTATTTTTACAACTGAACGTTATTTCCTATTCTTCCCTTTACCTTTGCCCTTTCCTTCTCTACTTCTGGCAGTTTTGTTCTTATTGAATTTCCCACTGAACACTTTCTTCTGATTGTTCAACGGTTTCTGTCCTTTGCCCGGTGGCCCTTTATTTCTTCTGCCATCAGGCTTATTGTTGAATTTTCTCTTGTCTTCTTCCTGGTTTCTGCCAAATCTTTTGTCGCCTTTATTTTTTTTATTGACTTTTTCAGTGTCTTGATTCTTTTGATATTTCTTCTTTAGTTTCTTGTCAAGACGCATCTTTTTGAATCCACGCACAGAATTGTCGTCCGCCTTCCTTTTCCTCGATGTATTCTCGCTGAAGAGATCTGGTGAAAAGCAAAGTATATAAGTGACATCATTTTAATTTGGTTCTAAAGACCTATGGTCGTAGTAGCTGGTATAACTAATGCACCATAAAGAAGAAAAAACAGTAAGCAATGACTTAAATAGTTATTTATCTACACCCATGCTTTAAAACCTCTATTAAAGATTCTGAAACAGTTAATTATTGTCAACATTGAAACATCCAATGCCATAATTAAAACACCCATTTGGGTGGTAGATTATACTAGTATATGCAACTGTCATATAACAAGGGTAATTATTGTGTTAAAACACGAGAGTTTGTTTAGCATTAATAGACTCGACTCAGGTTGGCGTGTTTTAATACCTAAATTCTATCCAGTGGCATACACAACTTCCTCTTCACTCATGGAACAATTGAAAATAAACAAAATAACAAAGAAGTTTAGTGTTTGGCAAAATTTTTTCTGAAATCCCGAAAACAAAACACGATCGGCAGAAACTTGTATGGGAAGCGAGGGAAAATAATCGAATGATTGCGCCTTTTTGAATTAGAAATTATTTATTTGCATTTGAATAGGGTACACTGGGGATCTTTCAATTTTAAACTTCGGCTCATTCAGCCATCTAAAATAGCATGCAAATATTTTGCATTTTTATATTTTTGAAGTGAAACTTCTTTAGGCCCGCGCGACTTGGGGGGTAAACTGGCGAATGTGGGACGATTTTTGCGTTACGCGCGCACTCATCGGTAAACAATGAACAATACCCGTCACAAAATAAATGAATACTTGGTGGGTGATAACGGGCCCAGCACGGATTTGTGGGTGATAACGGACCAAGTGCAGATTGGTGGGTGATAATGGACCCAGCACGGATTGGTGGGTGATAAGGGACCCAGCGCGAATTGGTGGGTGATAACAGACTCTGTGCGGATTGGTGGGTGACAACGGACCAAGCGCGGATTGGTTCTTCACGCCTCTTTTAAAGGATCCCAGGTTGTAAGAGGGAGGGAATACGTGAGCAGGCCGAGCATTCCATTTACGGATAGTGCGACAAAGAAATGAGTCTCCAAACTTCTTTGTACTCGTTGGAATAGGGATGATGACTATTGTTTTTTCTTCGTTTATCAGATAGATTGTCAAAAAGTATTGGACACGTATTTTTTCTTTTTTCACATATTATAAACATTGCAGAGATATATTGATTTGAAAAGTCACCTGACGTCACGTTTTGGTACAATTTTCAGTTAAAAGTGACGTCACGACCCCTACTCCCAAACTTTGACGCGCTATAACTTTGTAATTTTTTGGTTGATTGCCCAAAGAAAAAATACGTGTCCATTATTTTTTGATCATCTAACTGACGGACTAAATAGAATTTCGTTTACTGTACCCCGTCATCACCCCTATTATGTGTCCTCTGAAGGAAAGGAGAAGATAGAATAAGAGAGAATAACTCCTCAGAACATTCGCCGTGGTACATACTGCCAAGGAATCTGCCAAGTATTGCGCCACGGCACACTTTTTTATTAGTTGAATTTTCAAATTATATTAAACTAGCAGCCCGCCCTCGCTTCGCTTCGGTGTAGAGCTGAAGTGTAAACTACAGTTTTTGTTCTCAGGCTTGTATTATACACAATGACATTCATCTATGATTCTTCTTATACCTGCATGCAAAGTCTCAGCCCGATCGGTTTAAAATTGACAAAGTTTCATACAAACTTTCAATCCCTATTTTATCCCCTTGGGGGTAGAATTGATCAAAATCCTTTTCTTAGCGGATGCCTACGTCATAACATCTACCTGCATGTCAAATTTCAGCCCGTTCCGTCCAGTGGTTTGGGCTGTGCGTTGATAGATCACTATGTCAGTCAGTCAACTTTGAGTTTTATATATATAGATAGATAGATAACGTAATAGATACCTTTTTCTGGTTCTGCGCCGACTTCCTTCCTGTAGTAATCTGCGTCGTTTTCATCGTCCTGATCCATGTCCGCTGCGTTCTGAGACTCGGCTGCCGCGAGCTCCATTAACCTATAAATAATTAACAAAAAAAAACAATAATACATTTATGTTTTTTTTTTTTTAAGCATTTAACTGCTAGATGTTTAAATCTATAAAGATAGTTTTACTAGAAAAAAAAATTAACTACAATGCGAAGGGATGCCGCTGCCTTGCAGCTTAAGCCTAGGAAAATTTCGACCCGGCCATCAGGGCCATAATTGGTCAGTGCATTCGCCCGGATTGCGAAGGGTGCGGGTTCGAGTCCCGTTCGCTGTCTGATCCGCGTGGATTTTTTTCTAGTAAAACTGTTCTTAATAATACATTTGTCAGACTGGAAGCAAAAGAAAAAAATTCGGGTGTGCTAGCTTCTATCTTTCCCAAGCACTGTGTAAAATGTTAGTATCAATAACTTCATATTCAGAAAGTAGTTGTCAAATATAATCCCTACCTTTGACTCTCTGTCATCTCTTTCTTCTTCTTGATACCTTCTAGAGCCTTCTGTTTGAGTTCTTCCTTTTCACGTAACTTTCTCTTCACGTTGTCCTCTTGCTGTGACTTGCGTTTTTCTTTAAGTCGCCTATGGATGTTACAAAAGATAAATAAATAGGTTAGTAATTACTGCATATATTATTTTATGCAATATTTTAACTGAGAGCAAAAGAAAATTATAAAACGCGCCTGCTACTGACATTTCCTCTCATGCAAACAGTAAGTCATATCAATAGACAACTACAGGTCAAATAACATATGGAAAATTGCCCCAACTGACTTAGAACTTTATATTATCTGAGATAAAATTCACAATCTATTGAGAAAAAATTGTTTGAGTTGACACAATGTGTGTAACCGTGCGAGTTGAATTTTAGTAAGAAAGAACTCACGCTTGTGGCCTCTCGAAATCATACTTATATGAGATAATTATGAATCTTGATTCACTACGAGAAAGCATCAAACTTAAATATATTTTGTATGAGAATATCTTGCAGCTTTTCTGAATCCGTGTGCGCACAGTCTAATACTCACTTCTTTTCTTCGCGTCGCTTCTTGATCAACACCTTTTCTTCTTCAGTCTTTTCAATCAACTCGTGGAATAGCACTTCGCCGTCCATGAGGCCATCTTCGATCTATAACAGTAAGATTTGACACATGGATTAATTTTTGATTTTGCACATGTTTGCATAAATTACTGTATGTTGACTGGTAGAGAAGGCTTTAGCATTAAGTTTGCTTTCTGTACTGATTGGAGTTTAATAAAGTTTTTAAATAAAAAATGTGTATCATATGCATTAGCGGGAAATGCCCACACTAGAAATTTAGTTTCTTTGCCAGGAATTTGAGATTCATACAATATGAAAATTAATTGAAGAAGGAATGTAAGTTGAAGACGGCTGCCCCCTACGAAAAATCCTATATCTAAAGGCATTTGTTACCTATCTATATTTTGGTTTGAGATTTACTAATTCTATCAAACCATAAACCATAGCTTTGAAATACGCCCTGCTTGCTTGCCACCATAGGAAAAATCTCTAGCTACGCCTAGTGATCATATCAATTTTTATGTGGTACCCTAGTATCCTATAACACAAGCCTTACTGTGCTTACTTTGAGGTTAATTGGTTCTTCGGAGTCTTAGAAATATGTATTTTTTATTTTATAAAAAAGGGGTTAGATTAACAGGTGCTTGTGGTGGTAATTCAATGATTACTTAATAGGTGGTAATTGTTAGTACCTTGATGAGTTGGAAGGATATCCTGGGTCCCAGCTCGTACAGCCTGATGGCGGACTTGGACTCGGCCGCGGCGCCGCGCGACGCCAGCGACTGCGGCAACACCACCTGACACTGCTGCTCGTCCTCAAACTCACTCTCAGACAGGAGGGCTGCTCTTAAATGAGACAGACAAATAATAACATTTATTTGGAAAAAATATGTTAATATGATATTAAGATATACTTACTTATCAAAAAACTCAGACATGTCCTTGCAGCGATTCAGATTTGGTACTTTTCCCAGCACTACCTGTTAAAAAAATTATTTTTTTTTATAGCACAGTGTGACCTAAACCCGCACTTTAAGCACGCTTTTCCGTGACCTATGTTGCCTATTTCTGCACAGTGTGTAAATGAATTGACCTACTTCACTCATGTAGAATTAGTACATTACGATACGCGTAACTTAACTTTACTATGCCAATCAAGGAATAAACGTTCATGGATACATTGAAATTCTATTTTGTTGTAATGATATTTGATTTTTTCCTTTTGAAATATACTTTCAAAATGGTAATCTGAACCGGAATTCTTTGTTTTCATAGTTTGACTTGCAGTCTGTATTGCAATTCTTTGTGATTGCAATACATGAATTTTACTTTCAAAACACTAATCGCATCCCTCCCTCTTGCCCGCATCCGGGGCGGGTTTATGTCACACTTGCTATAAAATAGTATACGATACTTGTGGCCTAAGTTGTCTATTACTGCACGGCGTTTAGCACCCTCAAAGCAGCAGTAATAGGCAACTTAGGTCATGCGTATCGTAATGTACTAATGTTACCATTTTCATTGTTACCACAAAGGTGTAAGTAAACTTTTTCTGTTTATATATATCTGCCTGTCGTTAAATAATTAGGACTTATTTTTTCAAACTTCTTGCTTTATATTAGTCTGTATTAAAAATAAAATATAAATAAAAGTTCCTTTCAACCTTACCTTTTTTGTTCCTTTATTAAGCCCTACTGGTGTTGCTCTGATTACATAATGCCTAAAATCTATTAATTTACTCGAGGAATTGTAATTCATTAAAACACATCTTCGTATGTTCTTTAGCTTCACCTGTGAAATGGACATAGTAGATTTTAATGTTGCAAGATTATATAATTTATAATAAAGCTTAAAAATTACATGAGTGCTTATTTAAGCTGCAAACAATGTTACTTATAGCTTGAAGCTGGCAAATTTTTTCATTAAATTGCAAGCTCAATGCAAATTGAAATAAATACAGTTTCATAGAATATAAGTTTTCGTAAAGTACAAAAAAAACTGTGTGTATCTAAAATTAAAAGTTTTTTTTAAGTCTGTCATTATAATAAGATTTTCGTATGAAGCTTACTGTTGTGATGTTGATTGTTGGAAACATGTTTTGAAACATGGTAGCCATGAGTTTCATATGCATGCCTTCTCCAGAAAAGCTATTGAGGACTATGAGTGGGGCATTCTGAAATGCCTTCATTATGACATACTGCTTCTTGAGTGATGATATCACATCACGGGCTAGACTGTACTGAAAATAATATTATAATAATTAATATTATTTTTAATAGTATTTTGTTTTATTATAGTATTCTTAAGAAAGTATAGTGGTATTTATTATTGTATATATTTAGGTATTTATCATATATATATGAATATGTATGTATATATATGTAGTAATGTAAGTATATTTATAGATGTTATATATTACAATTTTTATATTAAGTATCATATAGTTTTAACAATTATTTTTTTTTTTTCTTTCACCTTTTGCTTTTATTTACTTTACTTTGTCTCTGCTTAGCCTGATGGTTGACTGGTAGAGAATGCCATGTGGCATTAAGTCTGCCATTTGTTGTAAAATGACAATAAAGAGTACTTAAATAAATAAAATAAATGTTACACGTTATTATAAAGTGACTAAAACAACTTTACGTTTTAAACTTACATTATGAATTCTAAAAGTCAAGGTGGGTCCTCGTGGAAGTCTAGCCAACCTCATGTAAGTGCCAAGCTCTGTTTCAGTGAATGTCATCATGTGAGAAACATGAAGGTAGCCTGATACTGAGAGAAAATCTTTTATTGTGTTCTTTTTCCTTTCCTGGAACATATTTTTTTAAATAATAAATGATTAATTGTAATTTATAAAATGTATTATCTATGTACTGATTCATCTAATAATCTTAGCTATATCTTTGTACTCTTTATATGTTGTACCAAATACAGCTTAGTTTATCAAATGTTTATACCCTTTTAATTAGCTTAATGCCTGGTCTGTGTGAATGGAAATTTCTGCCAATGTCAAACAAACTCTCGTCTGTGAAGATGGTAGATTTCTGCCACGAGTTGAGAATAATATTTTCATATTTTGAGTTTTCTCATATTTACTTAATGGTTTAATAAAAGACATTTAATATTCAAAGTTTTCAAGTCATGTTTTTTTAAATAATTATAATTATGTAGATACGTATTAACACTGTAGTACTTAAAGATATTGCATCGAGCTTGCATAAATATTTACAAAAATAGCTGCCTGAAAGTCAAACAGTTTATCATCAAAATGTTCAACTATACCTTCAATTGGGAAGCTGTAAACGGCTCCATAACTTTCCTGAAATCTTTAGTAAGATCTATGAGGTCCTTGCTGCAATTACCACGATGTATGACGAAGGAATGGGGAGCCTTCACCAAATGCTCGGGCTCCAAAGCATCTTTGCCTGCAGGGTTCTTCTTGGAACATTTCCCTTTACGTTTTCCCATATCGGTTAAATTCTAACGCATGAGTTACAAATAATAAAGTTTTAGATGTAACACATTAAAGAGTATTTACAACCGTATTTTCAAAACTACGTAAGAGTAAAATAAAATTTGAGGTTATGGAGCATGCACAAAATCAAATGTCAATGTCAAAAAATAGGGATGCCCGATCTGAATTGATTTTTAGATAATCGATTTGATTTTTTTCAATATACCTAGATCGTTTGACCAGAAATTCGAATCAATTATATAAATCTTATGCCATGATATAACAAAGTATCTGGCCAAACAGGTTTTAACCGAAAGGTATTTTTTGCTTATAGGTCCTCGCATGCATTATTATGACGACAGCACGGGTGATGCCCAATATACCGGCCGCGCCAACATCAACAACAACGGGAAAACGTCATCGAGTGCCGGAACAAACTTGTGTCTGAAGTCGAAACTTTGTTAAACCGAGTAACGAATTGCGGCCAACTTAATCTAGTACAATTTAACCCTACGAAGACACAAGTATGCGCGTTCACCGCAAAAAAAATACCATTTGTCGTATCTCCTCTTTTTGAGAACAGTCCTCTAACTGCCTCAGCTAGTATTGAAATTCTTGGCGTTGACATATCGAGCGACGTCCAGTTTCGGAATCATTTAGAGGGCAAGGCCAAATTGGCCTCTAAGAAGCTTGGTGTGCTCAATAGATCGAGAATGTACTTCACACCGGCCCACCGACTGCAGCTTTATAAGGCACAGGTTCGGCCTCACATGGAGTACTGCTCTCATCTTTGGGCGGGGGCACCCCAGTACCAGCTTCTCCCTTTGGATCGCATCCAGCGCCGAGCGGCTCGAATAGTCGACGACCAGGACCTTTCCGATCAGCTTGATCCTTTGGCTTTGCGTAGGGATGTAGCTTCGCTCTGCATCTTCTATCGCATTTATCACGGGGAATGTTCTGAGGAATTGTTCGGATTAATTCCAGCTGCTGCATTTCGCTATCGTACATCGCGACAAAAATTTCATCCCCATCATCTTGATGCGTGGCTATCCACAACCGTGCGTTTTTGTCGAAATTTTTTTCCACGTACGACAAAACTGTGGAATATGTTGTCGCCAGCAGTGTTTCCGGACCGATACGACCCAAAAACCTTCAAAAAAAGAGCGTACTGCTTCCTTAAAGGCCGGCATCGCATTTGTGATACTCCTGGTGCAGTGTCCATGGGCGACGGTGATCACTTACCATCAGGTGAGTCGTCTGCTCGTATATATAACATAAAAAAAAAAAAAAAAAAAAAATGTGGTAGTGGTTCAGTATAGGACAGATGTTATTATCTACTAAGAACAAAGTACGTATTATAACTTACTGAAGTTAGTTAATATTTTCTCAATCAAAGAACAAAAAAAAATGCCATTTTGCCAATATTTTGCTATATTTATAGTTAGTCATTTATACCATTTTACTTATGGGAAAGAAAACGCAAAGCTTATTATAGATAGCCTTTGGGCCATATAGCACATAGTGATTGATCTGTCACTTTGATTCTGTCCGATTGGTTGGTTTTTCTTGTGAAATTATGTAAAATTGCCTTGTCTATTTCATTGAGAAAACTATGAAATTCTTACAATACGGGTTGAAGACCCGAGGAGGGTGCTAAAGGATCGTAATGCGGATCAAGTCTGTAGGTAAATATATGAACAATTATAAGACTAAAAGGCAATTTTTTAATAATGTTATATTATAGGTAGTTTATGTCAAATTAATTTAATAAAAACCTTTCATGACTAAGTACAAATATTTGATTATGTATTTATAGTTTGTAAGCATAACCTATAAAAATGTTTTTTGCTTTAAACTGGAGACAATTAAGTACAGTTTATTTACTACCATTGGAGGACTATAATGGCCAAGATCGGTACATTATCTGTATAACCATACAGAAAATTGTAATTTACAGCCTATTGTTGTAGTTTTTTCAGCCGACCATCTTTATTAAAGTGGTTATTACACCAAATTATCATATAATTCACCATATTACGAAAAAAATACTAATATAAATCAATCAAAAACGCTTTTTTATCTATTTTGACAGATAACTTTGGTTTTTTGACCCTTGCACCTGTAGCGGTGATAATTGGCATTCCCCCCCCCCCCATTGTAATGTTACTTAAATAAAAAAATCATTTATTCATAACTTAAAACGAAACTTCAAAGTTAAATTAATATTGTTTATATGTAACAAAAATTAATAGCTTGTTTGGTAAAGAAATTTAGATGTTAATTTATATTTTTTTTCCATTGGGAAATAAACTAGTACCTTAGGGACAGAAATGAACATAACATAACCTCGCTTATTAAAAATATGTTTTGTATATATAATATAGTTTATTCACAGTGTGCATATTATTAATTGCATAATTTTGCAAGTTTTTAATATTTTTGAAGTTATACTTCTTTAGGCGCGTTATGAAAAAATGATGAGAGTGAAATTTTAAGATGCGCGCGCATCACTGTAACACAAAAAATTAACAGCATGAAGTTAGTCGCTTTAGCGACCAACTTCATGCTGTTACTTTTGTGTTTACCGCACATTAAGAAAATCTACCAACAAAATAGAAATAGAATCTCTATTTAGCGGGTGCTAACGACTGCATTGTGAAGGCCTATCAAAAGTATTTATTAATCTGGAACAACGGAACCAAAGCGCGATTCAGGAGACTACAGCGCCATCTCTTGACCATTAGTGTAGTAGAACCAAAAACCACATCTTTATTTTTTGTAATAAAGTAACAGTTATAGGTATTCATATTTATAATATTTATCTACATTTTTCTAGTTTGTATATTCGGAATACGTGTTTGAGTTTCATACAAGTGCAAATCACATATGTTCTAATAAATTATATTTAGTAGCGATTTTAATTGAATATTTTGATTATTTATTTATTTTTTCAAATTAAAACTGAACTTTATTGACTGTGTCCTTTTCCAGACTTTTTATTAATTTATTGTAATTAATTATTTGCATGCAATTAAAAACTAATTTTAAACGATGCCAAAGAAGGATAACTTCTCACGCGCCTACATAAGTACACGCACCCATTTTTTTCTAACGATATGATTTTTCATAATCAAATGAAATCGATTCCGATCAGTTACCATCCAAAATCGATTTGATACAGAAGATCGGGAATCCCTAATGTCAAATTAGCAGGTGCTTGCTGTCAAAATTGTTTGTTTTTAATTTTCGCAAAAATTAAGACAATAATCCATAATTCATGCGGACTATGTGCTATGCTATAATTGTATTTTTAATGCCTTGTTGATACTGTACTCTGAAAGCATTTTGAATCATCAGAATATAACTACGTGCTTTCTTTGCACACCGCTCTCGTTATTAACGTTGAAGAAAATGAAATTTATTAAAAATATACTGTTAAAAGTGTCCGTGATGCTAGCGTACCCACGATCAATATACGGTTTTTCGTTATGCCATTAAATACTGCGTAAATAGTGCCAAATTAGTGTAAAAATAAAAAAAATAGTGCCTCTTTAATTTAAGAAATAAAGACCATTTTTACTGTGTACGCTACCATGACGTCAAGCTAGCGTACCCATGGCCGACCCCAAGAATGGCATATATTTAAGCAACGAAATAGACACACAAAAATAGTTCGCAAATAGTGCCCTGGCTTTACAAAATTTCATAATCAATACTCTTAAAGGACCAAAGATATTGAACTAAACATTCTTAGCTGGCGTCAACCTGGCGTACCCATAATAGTTCTCATAGAAAATAAACTTTTCTCGTTATTAATTCTATATGTATAAATAGTGTGTCAAATAGTTCCTCTAACAGTAAAAGTATTTTATGTTAATTCGCAGTAAAACAATATAAAAAAAGCAATTAAATTATATTTATATATGAAGTACAGACATGTACAGAAGTGATAATATTTTCGTAGTATAGTAGGTAAGTAAGGTACTTAGTAGGTAGGTTGAAATTCTTATATGAATTTATGATTGGTGAATTCGAATTGAAATAAAATATCTTTTTATAAAAAGTACCTATTTATTTTAGTAAAAATACATATATAGATAATCTCTTAGTGCATAATTTAATTTTGTGTGTAACTGTACTACAATACATTTGTTCCTAGAATTTAACATCCTCTTTATGTATTGTTGTGATGGGGATTCACATAAAATACTTTTACTATTAGAGGCACTATTTGACACACTATTTATACATATAGAATTGATAACGGGAAAAAAGTTCATTTTCTATGAGAACTATTATGGGTACGCCAGGTTGACACCAGCTAAGAATGTTTAGTTCAATATCTTTGGTCCTTTAAGAGTATTGATTATGAAATTTTGTAAAGCCAGGGCACTATTTGCGAACTATTTTTGTGTGTCAATTTCGTTGCTTAAATATATGCCGTTCTTGGGGTCGGCCATGGGTACGCTAGCTTGACGTCATGGTAGCGTACACAGTAAAAATGGTCTTTATTTCTTAAATTAAAGAGGCACTATTTTTTTTATTTTTACACTAATTTGGCACTATTTACGCAGTATTTAATGGCATAACGAAAAACCGTATATTGATCGTGGGTACGCTAGCATCACGGACACCTGTTAAAATAGGTGTCGATTCTGACATGATTCTCTAAACCTAAACTGAAATTTGACAACAGCATATCCTTGTCATTCTCTTTAATGAATGAAAAGGAGAGACTGATGTCAAAGTTAGTTTTAAGTTTGCAGAATCATGCCGGAATCGGCACCAATGAATGGATATAATTTAAATATCCATTTGTACTAGTAAAACAACACCGATACATATTTTAGTAAACTAAGCTCACTGAAATAAATTATTATCCTACTAACATTATAAATGAGAAAGTTTGTATGTACGTCAATCACGCAAAAACGGCTGAACGGATTTGAATGAAATTTGGCATGGTTATTACCTGGAGAGACATAGCATACTTTTTATCCCGTAAAAGTTTAGGTTCCTGAGGGTTTTCAGGCCGCTAGTTATTATTATATTTGTCAACATGGTAGTTACCTCTAATCCTATGAAGCTGCCTTGCAGTATTTGAAATTCTTAACTATTTTAAAAGACATTTGCAGGTATTATTTGTTTTTCGAGGCTTTAAATAAGTAGAGCATTCGCCTTGATCGGAAAATGCCGGTTCGATATCATCTATTAGAAGTGGGATTTTTTCTGGAAAAAAATCTCTTCTAAATGCGCAGACGACGCGCTCAATAACATAGGAACGGTTTAATAATTTAGGTATGAAATAAAGAAGTCTCAAAACAAATCAAAACGGCTTTATTTTTGCTGGTTCATTGTGGATTTCCCATACTCGCACATGAATACCTACACTATTTATTTACCAGATAAGTCTCGTTATCTTACTGGTTTCTTGTAATTTGTTCTTTGAATTGTTATACAAAACTTCACGATAGTGTGACTTCACGTCGCTCATATTATTTATATCCACACAGCCGAGTACATTACAATGGAAACAGTACCAGCAGGGTAAAAAATAAAGTTGAGTATATATTATAATTGAGAACATCTAACCACTCTGTGGGTTGTTGAATGTTATTCTTTGAACTTGACTAGTTAGGGAACGTGAACTTTTGCCATTGGTTAAAAATATAGTGTTATAGTCTAGACCAGAAACGCTTCGCACAAGTTAGGTAAAAGATACGTCCGATCCGACCCAAGGCAACAGTCAACGTTCTTTGAATACGATGCAAACTAAATGGTAGTTGTGAAGTTAGCGCAAGTCACTGGCGCAGTGAACGATATTATTGTATCTGCGTATAGTCGCCCTCGTTGCTAACTTCACAACCGCGATAAGGTCCAAATTGCCCTGTAAATAACATAAGTGATTAAATGACACTTTCCGTCCGTTACGAATGGTTCATAAATTTTTCTATCCTATTTCCCAGTGCAAATATTTGCAGCTTAGCTCAATACTCAACTATCCTATTTTTGGATTGAAAATTACTAATGTATTTGGTACAATTCTGATACGTGGATGATCGAGAGAACATTAACTAGCTATAGTTCGAGGTCGGGCGCAGGGTGCGCCGACGCAAAGATACCGTTATATATGGATGTTTCAATAATAATTCGAGTCCAAATCAAAATATACAGAACATCTTACATTACAAAGGTGCAATAAAGAAAACTTTACATAAAAATAGAAAAACGAAATGAATACAATTAGCAACCTTTAGTCACAGGAACTAGAGATGTTCAAATTTCATATTTTCATGATAATTCAAATTACAAATTGAGAATCTTACAGAATCATTATTATTCTGGTTTGACAAATATAAAAAGCCCCTATTTTTACCCCTATTAAATTAGCTAATACCTATAGTCCATTCTATACTATTATCAGTTAAATACCGTTATCATTAAATTTAAAATCATATTTAAAAATGTATACAATCACGGTTAATTTAACCAATGACAGCGAAGTTTACACATCAAAATTTTACTAAACAATTTATATTGTTCGTTTCCTACTTTGCTGTCACAAGGCTTTTATTGCAGTCTGTCCAATTGTATCGGCAAGATTAGAACTATACAACTATATGACATAAAGCTACTAAGCATTCGTAATTTACGATACAAACAATTTGCGTAAGAATAAAACATCTTAAATAATAACAGAAAAAAGATAACCGATATAATTGACAGACTTGTTGAATGAAGGCGAAAGATGATCGTATTGTATTATTACAATTCGGTATTTTAAGTTAAATTTATTATGCATGACAATGAAACGTTAATTATTCCAGCGTCAAGTTATAACCTTAACCATATTGACGTGTCGTAGCGTTAGTAACACTTGTTACATGAATTACTATATTATTTTAGTGCAAAAATGTTATAAAGAATTATGAAGACAATCGATAAAAAAAATCAATTAATTGGTAGAAACGCGACTTCCCAAAAGTTTTAATGTCATGGCCTAAGCCTAAGCGATACAATGAAGCCATAAAAATAAAATAATTGCTAAATTTATTGCAAAATCGTGTTTATTGTTACCCATCATGTTTGCCCTAGGGGCGGTACATTCAGATTTAACAAAGCAATTCAAAATAATCAGTAACAAGGTTTGGTAACTCGATATTATCAAACATTTATTAATTATAACATACTAAAAATTATTATCCACCTTAAAATAAAGTCCTATTTGAAGCTAATTTTCAATAACAATAAGTAAGTACATACTAACTTCATGTCAATGTTATTAAAATGTTAATATGGTCTTGCCAGATGGCAACTAATTTTTCTACTAATTCATAGCCACATTTTTGAGTATTTCATTTTAAAATTTGTTTTGATGATCTGTACCGCCCCTTCAGAACTCAGCAATAGCCAACTCTGAATCACCTGTTATCCTAGCTTCAGACATAGATAGCTATGTGTATCACCATTTTTGGCCTTGATACAAAACGATAATTGTTAAATTCTATCTTAAATAGATGGTGTTATTTTCTCCATTGATATCATGGAATAGAGATGTTAAAAAAATGTTTAACTTTAAGCAAAGTTTTGTGGTGTGACCACGAGTTTCTAGCTAAACAAAATACAAGACGACCACGACTGATAATGTTGCCACATTCGTTTAGATTCCAGTTAATAAACTACAAAAAAGCACTACACTCCTTTCGTACAAAGCATCACAAAAATACTACAAAGAAATGTGTAGACATAACAGATTGTTAAAATCGAACACAAATCGTTGATAAATAGTTAACAAAATATGTTCATATGCAAAAAATATAGTTTAAGGACAGCGGCGCGCCGCGCGGGTACTTGCTGCCTGTTGCTCTGTGAACCTTCGCCGAGTCGTTTAGTGTTGTTCCATCTGTAAACACCGTTAAGTTCTGTCTTAGTCGCCAAGATATAATATTAAATAAAAAGACCCACCATTTATCCATCAGCTATCTATTGAACAAATAATGTTAAATGTTGTTGAGGAGCTATGAAGGTGATATCATTATTGCCATCTTTGTAGATTGTAACGTGTTAAAAACGTCAAATGAGTTTTGTTTGGTTGAAGAGAGAGATAGAAGACCTCTGATTAGGTTGTCACACTGGTTCTCCTTTTCCATAGATCGCTTTCGCTAGTCCATGGGTTTTCGAAGTGAAACTTCTTTAGGCACGCTTTAGACTTGGGGGGTAAACTAGCGAATGTGTTACGATTTTTGCGTTACGCGCGCACCGGTGACTCATCGGTAGACAATGAACAGATCCCCCCAGCGGATTGGTGGGGGATAACAGACTTAGTGCGGATTGATGGGTGATAATAGACCTAGTGCGGATTGGTGGGTGATAATAGACCCAGTTCGGATTGGAAGGTGACAATGGACCCAGCGTGGATTGGTGGTTTTTTCTATCAACAAATCCTCAGGTGAAGTTTATGATTTTCAGATCATTGGAGCTAAAGATTTTTTTTATTTTATTATTTATGGGTTTAACAAGGCTTTATCTAGACTGATTCCTTTGCTTGCCTTTTGGAAAGTACAAAAGGTAGAAAATTTTAATGTCACTGCACGAGGTAATGTTACCAATTTCAAAATGTAATGTAGATGGCTTGGTTGTTTAATTTCTTTAAAAAACGGCGAGAACCTTCGACTTTTCTTTTCTTTTATACATTTTCTTATGTTTTGTGCCATGTGCTAATCTGCGGACTGTTTGTTAGTCTGTTTGTTGTACAGAAACTTTTATATTGGAGCAATAACCCTTTTTCATTTCAAGGAAGCAAGGCTTTACATTCAACTCATAATAAAGATGCAGCGGGGACTGTAAGCGCATGTAAATTTATACTATAAAGGAATTTATTCGGTAAGAGTAAATTATTCCATTATGTAAAATTCAGGTAAACATTATAAATATAAGATTATAATGGGACCTAGCTTCTAAATTCAAGATAAATATTTGGTAAATAGTTAGAAATTTCAATATATAGACAACGCAAAGTGAGTTTGGATATTTCTTCAACCCCCCTTGCAATTAATAGTACAACTATCGGCGTGTCTATTGAGGTCGGTCTTCGACGGCCCTAAGGTGGTCTGGGCGCGGCCTGACCAGCCGCGCGTCCTAGGTGCCGCTCCGGCATAGGCCACCACGTCTGGGGGCTGCCTAGTACCCTAGCGCAGTCCCCTTGAGGCGCGTCGCCCGGTCCACTCGTTGGGCCGGGCCTGCCCGGGGGCGTCCCAGTGAAGTGGCGCACGCTAAGGTGCGTCGATCCTGAGACGCCCCCATATGGGCGTAGGAGGGTACCGGGGGAAACCCGAAATAGTGGAGTAGGATCAGTGTGGCCTTCCGCACTGGTCCTGCTTGAGTAGGGTCGGCACTGTTTCCCGTGCCGGCGAGTCCCACACAAGCCGTGCGCGTGTGTAAAAAAAAAAAAAAGATCTGGCGCCCCATACTTTTTTAATTTTATTTCAACCTATCCATATTTCTCTAAAACACAATTTTTGGTTCTCCCACCTACTTATAAGCTTTATATTTTTTTTATATGACAAGATATTGGTACCAATAGACAAGTCATGTTAATTTGATTTGTAAAGCAACAAAAACACTTATTATTTCCTGTTCAGCGAAGATGGCGCTCGGAAGGCTGTGCTAGTGTCTGGGGTCCCTTAACTTAACCTACAAATGCATCTGAGATGTCATACAATCCATACATAGTCCTTCACAAATTCTCAACAAAAAAATATGAATGTAGACAGGATATATTTTGAAATTTCCTAAGCACTATTGAGAAACTGTTATCACATCTATCTAACCTTAAAGCTCACCCTTTCCAAGATTTCTTTCAGGGACTACATGCTCTACTCAGACAATAATACAATGATAATATGCTTTTGCAAGTTCACTATTGCAGACATTCTGTGGGTGCTCATAATAGATTTATGATGAACATAGATCCAACAATTTCAAATATGTGATAATAATACCTGTTCCTGGCCATTGGTCTCCTGAGATTTCATGACATCGGGCAGATCCGGGGGCGACGAGTATGGGGTCAGATCCAGAGCTTCAAATTCACCACAATCTTTTCTGTAAGAAGCAAAGTAAAATTTAAATACAATATTTATTATTAGAGGACCATAATTACATAATTAATTATGTTCTTTTGTTTTTAGGGGTCTATAATATGCAGTACATTTTAAGTTACTTTACAAAAATTACATTCATCTGATTTCAAACTGCAGTTTTAAATATCCAGGTGTATTAATTAATAGAATACAAAGTCCAATATTGAATTGTATACTAAAATATCATAATTTTGTTATCATTAAGTAGTACACTCAAGATAATTTGCTTTCACACTAATTTGGTTTGATTGTATTACACAAGCCCATGAGTGCCCATGTGTTACAGAACAAATGCATTGAATACAGAGAGATATAATAATTACTATTTCTCTGCCTGCATAATGATCTCTCTTCTTTGAATACAAATACACCCTATTGGAAAGCTCTACAATATATGCATCTAATACTTTATCTCAAATTTATGTTTTAAAATAAAAATCAACCAAATATTATATTATCAATATATATACTAATACTAAGTACCTACAAACATCAAAATCAAGTCAATCATGTTATTAAAATAATAATGATTTCAATATTAACCATAGCCTTTTAATTAATTTACTATAAAAAAATAAAGGCCAACCATACCTCAGAGCTAATCCAATTGGTGCAGGACACTGAGCTTTAGCTGTAGCTGATGTTAGACCATACTCCGCCAGCGTCTTATCGTCCTCCATTAACTGACTGTCCTTGTTGAAAAGCATTTGGCTTGGTGGTGGCACCTTCAATATACCTAAAGCAAATTTATGTTTCTTGCATAGCTGTATGTGTAATATTTCTTCTTTTATTTTAATAATGTTTTCAATAATAATCAATAAAATATATCCTTGAATAACAACAATATACTTATTTAGAGGAAGCAATTTTGTTTCAAGATATTTGCCATTTGGTGATGGCTTGATGGTGGGTGGGGTTTGCTTCTCTTATTTCATTATTAGATAAGAATTTACATGAATTAGAAATGTGATAAAAAGTGAATGAATATACTGTTTTTTTGCAAATCCATTTGCTAAATTAAACAGTTTCATCTTTTAACACATTAATGTGATGTAAATGAGTATACCTACTCATTTATAAATTTATATATTGGATGTTTACAAAATTATTTACTGTTACATTATTTATCTTAAGTCAAAATTTGTTTAATCTGGGTCTGATTGATGGGTTGTCTAATTTCTGCATGGATAGTTGACGGTGAAGGAATTTTTACTTCTTATTAAAACATATTAAATAAGCTAGAATAGTATTTCAAGTGATATAATAGATTAAAAACAACCTAATGTGACCTCTTATAGATTGTGAAACCGATAAATAGTAATATGAATGAGTAATAGTTATTTAAGGGTGAGTAACATTTGGGTGCACCATTTTATAAATCACTGCACATTATCATGAGATAATGCACTATGATAAATATAGTAATCCAAACATTAATATGATTATAGGTGAAAACACCACGCTAAACAAGAAAACCAACGCTATGTTCCGACATTGTATTGCTACTATAAATAGATTTTCGCGAATCATAGAGATAACACTTACCTTCGATCATTTTCTTTAATTCTAAGACAGTTGTCGTATCCTTGGCGTCTGTGAAGATGGTTAATTTTTTTCGCCTAATCATTAGAAAGACATCCTGAAAACAAATTTAATTTTGAGGTTACAGCACTTACGGCAGTCATACGTCAACAATTATTTGATAACACATCCACCACTTAGATATTTTAAGGAATCTTTCATTAATCGCACTCACCATATTGGGTTTATTATTTATTTTTATTATCTATTAATTTAAGTAAAAAACGCTTCGAGGCGTACGAAACGAAATCAAATATATACTGGCACAGACTAGGTAGAGATACTCTGGGAAATGACAGCTTCTTGCAGTGTTGCCGTTAGGATAATCTGGTTTATGGCTAAATAAAATAAAAAAATGGCCAGTTACACATCAAAAACTTTTTCGAAAGTATAGATATTAACGGGATTGTTACCATGTACCTTGTTTTTTATGAGTCTCATATATTTCGGCACTGTTGCAAGCGCCATGATCACGGAGTGAGAGAGATCACATGGTAACAACATAGAGAAAAGTAATACACTGGAAAGGTAACAATCCCGTTAATATCTATAATGTTAGTGACCATGAAAGTTTCAAACAATATAAATTTTTCGAAATGTGGCCAGCTTTCCGCGTCGATCGTGTTGCTCTATGGTGGCTAGCGGAGGCTGAATATTATAGTAGGTATTCTTTACTTACTTTAATATTCAAATAATATAGAAAATGTAATATAATAATTATTCAGGGATAGGGATAAATAAATTTAGTAAAACAACAGAGGTGTCGATTCTGGCATGATTCTCTCTAATACTAAGTGAAAAATATATTAAAACTACAATAATGTTTTTGTATGAAAAATGCTGTAATTTTTTTGTAAAAAAATTAAATAAAATTGTAAGTCTACAATAGTTTTAATTCCGGCATGATTCTCTAAACCTAAAATCAAATTTGACGACATCGAATCCTTGTTAAAGATGAGAAGTTGTCATACTCTGTACAGAATGAAAAGGTGAGAGAGACTGATTTAAATTTAGTTTTAAGTTTAGACAATCATGTCAGAGTCGATATCATTTTCTTCTGGCAATACAGTCTGTGACTTGTCCATAAAATGTTTGCGATTGATCCCTTTGTGCTTGAATTTTTTACTTACAATATTTACATTCTAAAATACTTGTAGTCCCTAGGGATAAAAACGTTATTTTAGTTCCTGTAAATTTGGAACAAACTAGCTCTTTTTATAAAGATGTGATAAAAAATATTTATTTATTGAAAGACCCAGATGCAGCCAAATAATTTTGGTGGCTAAACCTCAAAATTCGCTAGATCTAGCCAAAAAGTGGCTAAAATGACAACACATGTTATTTGAGTTGACCCAGGTCAACTATCTTATCTCTAGAGATAGGATTTTACCTGGAAATCACCCCAATGTGGGAAAAAATAGGGAAAAATCCCAGGGAAAATTACCGAATGGGAAAATATTCGGGTTTTTTCATATTTAGCTTATGTAACATCGAGGTAATGTGGAGATACATGTATATATCAAATTTAGACAAATTTGAGGACTCGATGACTTAAGCTATTTTGATTTTTCGAACTTTTATAACGTGTGTCGATTAAGGGCTCTTTCAATTTATGGGTCAGGCCGTAGATTTTGCCACAAATAGCACAATGGTGTCGCAAAATTTTCTACGAGTCCATAGCGCAGAGTGACGCAAAATGGTAACGCAAAATTGTTAAGGAGTGCATACAAGATATGTAACGTAAGGACAGTGCTACAAAATAAAACACACTTTTAATAGGTAAGTATGACAAACGTCAACTTTTACTCTTATCTTTAAGTCTTAAAAGGTATTACAAAAAAGCGGAGACTTCTATTGCTAGAAATACAATTCCTTCACAGGAACTAAAATCGAAACTCAAAAAAAACACAAATATTACAAAAGCTAAAAAAACACCTGCAAGCCTATGTGTGTAAGCTCCTTTATTTGGTAGCGTAAAATTAGTAGCGCAAATTCTACGCCCCTGGTATCGCAAAGTTGCATAAAGTCATTTTTGCGCAACTGTTGCGCAAACAAAACCCATTATAACTTGATAAATAAGCTATTTTTTAATGTAAATTAAGCCTTGAAAGATGTCAAACATTTCATTAAATCGTGCGCAATAATAAGTATAGATATAAATCAAAAACTTACCGTGACATATCAAAAAACACTCTCCGCAAAAAATATGACACTTCCTTCTTTCAAACGATGTTGATGTTGGGCTGAAAAAATATGACCGCTGATAGCGTATTGACCATAAACAAATCAGAAATCAATATATCTTTATTCAAATTGGATGTATAGTACAACACTTTTGAATCGTCCAAACATTTTTTTCCCCTACCACTTGTTATTGGACATATTTTTTAGCTGCGGAGAAAAACGAGCAAAAAAAATAATGTAACAACATTTACAAATCATTATGTTGTTACAACGTCAATACAATCATGATTTATTTATTAAAGAAAACCTGTTGGAATGATTGGAATAGTTCAAACCCAAGCATTTTTGTCTGTAATATAATCAGATACTTTTTAATAAGCTTTTTTAATAAGTGCTTTTTTATACTATCTTTGAATTTATTTATGCTTAACTCTTGGATATTGCTTGGGACTTTATTGTATAAGCGAACACAAAGACCTATAAATGAATTATTGATTTTGTGAAGCCTAGTAGCAGGTAAAGTTAGTTTATTTTTGTTTCTTGTATTAAGTGTGTGAACATCACTGTTTTTAAGAAACAAATTAATATTTTTTCTTACAAGTAATAAATTTTCGTAAATGTATTGTGATGCGACCGTCATTACACCAAATTCTTTAAACCTATCTCATAAGGAATCCTTAACTTTAAGATTATAAATTGATCGAATAGCTCTCTTTAAAGTATGTTCGGTGTTGCCACTACTCAGACTTGAATACTGTTATTTTTTAAACACAACCAAATGGGCATTTATTAGTTGCGCAATAAAAAGTAGCTCAAAGGAATGGATTTTAACGTTTTTCGAAAATGAGTGAAAATTTATGAAATTTCTTAGGTAATAGGAAACGATATTTAAAATGTGGCTAGCTAACTATTATTGTATAACGTAAAAGCAAACAGACTATCAAAAAGATTTTTATTTTTGATTTTACTGATGCTCAAAGTGCACCTCTACCGGGACGGATAAGCGTATTTTACGAAAAATTCATCGCTTTTTGTAGCAAAATATTTTATAAATTTCTAAGGCTTTGAAGATATTGAAATATATTTATTGATCGCGATTCACCATTTGTGAGGAAATATGATTCTGTTATTGAAAAAAATGTAATTACCGTACGTACGGACGATCCTTATTTTTCATACAAAACGCGCGGCGGCAACAGTGCGGCGGCGCCGGTACCGCAAACGCTCGACAACAGGATTGTTGCCGCACCCACTGCCGGATTTAGCGGAGGGCATCCGGCGCGAAAGCCCCGGAGCCTCCACAAACGGGGGCCCCCACAATAGAGACTTCGGAAAAAAAACCTTTCAAATTCCAACTAGTAAACATCTTTTCCTTTGATATTTTTTTTTGCTCTTTTACCTTTACTCCGAGCACTCGATTTCAACGAAATCATCGACGATTTTTCGGCGAAAAAAGTTCGTTCCGTTCGTTAACTCTAAGATTTAATTTCAGATAATTCTTGTTTCCGTTTATATTTATATGTGTTTGTTCAATACTAAGGGAATCTACATGGTTCACAATAAATTATTTTTTGCAAAACTCGACTGAAAAAAAAATGTTTACTTTATTTGGAAAATAATTTGGGAACGGAGGCTCCCCTCCGTTCCTCTGTTGCCCAGAGGCCTCTGGACCTCTAAATTCGGCCCTGGCCGCACCGCAGCAGGCCGTCAAGAAACGCATAAATTGAAAGAGCCCTAAGGCATTTGGCTTTTTCGCCACGGTTGTGGTTTTGGCGTTTGGCCTATTTTGCATTAAACCAAAACTATAAGCTATGTCGTTTGGCCCATTTTGCATTAAACCAAAAGTATAAGCTATGTCGTTTGGCCCAATTTGCATTCAACTACATTAAAAAACCGTGTCGCTTGAACCATTTTGTATTAATTAACTATGTCTCTAGACCCATTCAGCCTCTATTAAGGATAATGAGTAATGTCACTTCGGTTATTTTGACCTAACTATCTTATTTGTGTTATGGCCGTTGAAACATTTTGATTAAATTCAGCATTTGTAAAATTGGCATTTCCATAATTTTATCAAATCGGTTTTAACACATAGGCCGTCCAATAAATTAATGAGATTAGCTACTCCTTAGTCGCTTGGAACTAAGTTCAATTTATTGCGCGCTCTGTGTAAGTGTCCGTTACGACTTACGAGTACCTCACCCACCCGCGCGGGCGCGTCAGTCATCCGCCAACACTTAAGGCAGTGTCACGGTAATATTATCTATACAGTATTGTGACTCACAGGGTCGAGTCACAAACCTTTAAATAAATGCCTACGGCCAAGCGCTGCGTTAGGGTACGGCCAGAGTGCACTCAGATTCAGTTGCCTGCGGCCACTATGGCCACCCTGCTTTAACTACACTGTTTATTTCTCGCGCTTGTTTTCGGAATCTGAAAACAAGCGCGAGAAATAAACAGTGTAGTCGAAGGGTACGGCCAGAGTGCACTCCTGATTCAGATTCAGACTCAGAAAAGAAAAAGCAGGCAACCTGCTTAGACTACACACCCTACGGGTGCGGCCAGAGTGCACTCAGATTCAGATTCAGATTCTGAAAACAAGCGCGAGAAATAAACAGTGTAGTCAAAGGGTACGGCCAGAGTGCTCTCCTGATTCAGATTCAGGCTCAGAAAACAAAGCGCGAGAAAAAGCAGGCAACCTGCTTAGACTACACTGTTTATTTCTCGCGCTTGTTTTCAGAATCTGAATCTGAATCTGAGTGCACTCTGGCCGCACCCGTACCCTTACACGCGGTAGGGCCGCCCGCCTACAGTATTTTAATTTCATCTACATAATTGAGTTTCTTTCTAGTTTTGTGATTGTAAATATTTTATTTTATATGAAAAGATTCCCCGCAAGCCCATAATATACCCATATCGTAGGAATGCATTAAAAATAACTATTCCGCCATGTTGGATTTAGAATGACGTCACACAGCTAACCGTGTATATTCAAAATTTCAGCTCAACCGGTTGAAGATATCTGCTTCAAAATTGAGTTGCAAGATTCCACCCGAACAATTGAGATTCAT